CCTACGTCATAGACCAGGAGCGCATCCTGGAGGAGAGTAGGAAGAAAAAGAAATGGTGTGGCATTGCCCAATTCCGATCATCCAGACAGACCTCTGGCGCCACGAAACGCTTGCCTCAAACCAAGGGTAGAAGCGATGCAAGGGTCGGTCGAGGCAGAACTGCCCCGCTATTCCCTCGAAGCAACTACGTCTGGAGGTCTGGGTCCCGGGCAACTTAATGTGAGCTCGTAAAAGGTCCTCTGCTCATTGCCGTAATGGGGAGGGCGGGTAAGGCTCGGCAGATGACTACTGCGGAAATTAAACACTGATCCGGGCCGTCAATGCCTCCGGTACTGTAGCCTATGCTCGTTCATAAGAGAGGGATGGAACCATTGTGGTGAAATACCTCTCCCAAACTAACTGGGATTGGTTCAAAGCTATGGAGTAAAGAATACCGCTCACAAGGGGAACAGACTTCACTGTTGTGCCAATTACGAATGAGAGATAAAATTATGAATGGGAGAGCGGATTACGTGCCGTTGGAAACGTAGTATAATTCGCTCAGCGAAGCGGGCTGCAGCGGGATTGAAATCTTGGATCAAACGGCTACGCTGGTAAAAGTTCTGAAGAAAGGCCAAACCACAAAGCTGCGTTCACTCAAGAGTCCTGATGGCTTTTTAACTGAGAACTCTCTGTTCTTCAAGAGACTCAATTTGGTGGAAATCAGGTGATGGTTTCGCCTTCCTCTCCCTCGACTGGTGGGGGAGGGTATACGAGAACCACAGTGTCAATGTACAACTGGTTTGTTGCCAGAAATGTGGCTAATGAAGATGCCCTAAGATATGCTATTTAGTCTTTTTACAATCTCAAATCGCCCGGTCCGGATGGCATCCTACCTATTGTACTTAAGGAAGGTGTTGAGCCTTAGTTGGCGAACTTGCAAAAGATTTTCACAGCATCGCTTGCACTTGCCTACATACCACAAATAAATAAGATTTGTTCTATGCTGGCGTAGCTGGTCATCACTATTGAGGCAGAATGAGGTCAGTATGTCACGTTCGGAGTTAACAAGAGCTGCCATCAAAGTGACATGCTTATACTAATTTATTTATAGGAAATATGCAATTATATACAAAAATATGCAAAATATATAAAAAAAATATGAAAATATACAAATATGCAAACATACAAAATATGTGAAAATATGCAAAACATAATAGGTCCAAATTAACTCACTTCCTCCTACAATGAGTTTCTACCCAGGTCCGGACTTTCTGTGGTGTTAAACCAAAATAATCACTTGCATAAATATCCGAGCTCTATCAATCACTTTTTTTTTAATGATTGTAAATTTAGAAAATACAATCCCCACTGCCGAACAAGAGAAAAGTGACTAAACTTGTAAATATTTCATGATTTAAAATAAATTCACAGTTACACAGCTCCGCTTCTTTCTTATATACTGTGTATGTATGTATATAGTAGTATAAAGTATATACTTGTAAATTTATTTCATTTGATTTTCTTTCCAATTTCTGCATATTCATTAAGATTCTATTATTTTTCTACAGGAGCTTCGTCTCTTCAAATGTCGCAGTTGTCAATTGAAGAAAATCAATCCACAATTGTATAACTTATTGCCCATGCTTAATGAATTGGATTTGGGTCGCAATGAGGTAAGCAAAGCAGTTTAAGAGTGGAGACTGACTCAGGCACCAGTTTTGTTGAAAGAGTTTGTAGCTTCTATAAAAAAGCATTGGTTGTTTATTTGTTTCGCTTTAATTTAGTGAAATTTTCTTTTTTTATTTTGGCAAACAAATACTCAATGTAAAATATTGTCTAATACATACTTTCATTGCACTTTTCCTATACTTTCAGTTCAAATTCCTCGACAAAGATGAATTTCGCGACGTCAAACACCTCAATAAAGTCCCACTTGATGGCAATCAACTGTCAGTTGTTGTTGACGAGCTGTTTCGCAATCAAAAAAGTCTGCAGCGCTTGGGTAAGACTTTGCTTCTTACAGCCCTATTCTAACGCAATTATGTACAAAAATCTTCGCATCACTGTTATGATTTATACCTACGGTGACCATAAATATGGATTCAAAATGAAGGACAATTTTTCAAAAATATGCCTACATATATTTACGTAGTATAAAAATATCAAAAGAGTATTTATGATTCTAAATTCTTAATAGATTTTAAACTTAAAAAATGAATCACGTTTTCTTCATCGCTATTAATTTGTTTTTACATGAATATTTATAAAAGTATAGTAAAACATATTATAATTACAATAGCTTACACGAAAAGTGAAAACCTTTAAAAGATTATTTTATAGGCCAATTTTGAGTCGCTCAAAACGAAAACAATAACCTTTTTTATTTTTTGGTACTTTTCGCAGTTATTTGTTAAAAATCGACGTCATGAATCGACGTAAACGACGAGTTACAAAGTGCCCTTTACAAAAATATATAATTTGTGCAGATTGCGCTCCATAGCATCTACATTTCTAATCCGATTTTCATTATCTTTGGCTCAAAATTTACTGTAGTGATATATCTTCTTTATCGAATTTTTAAAAGAATGAAAAAAATAATCAAATGAAACTGCGTATTTGATTGAAAATCTCACTTTTTTTGACTTTGACGACAAAATGCAAATGGTCGCCTGTAGCACTAATAATTTTCATTGAAGTCGCCACAAGTTATATATTTTGTAAGAGGCACATCAATACCCTTCGAGCTGTAAGTCGCTTACGTTGATTGGGAGATTTTTTCATGAGATATTGAAGAAAAGCTACGAAAAGTACCAAAAAACACTTTTTTGAAAAAATCCATCCATTGTCCGATAATTTTAAAATAACGAATAAAATGCGGGACAAATGCAGGACACTTGGAAAAAATCAGTACATTTTCAGGTTTTTCAGGTTTGAAAAACTACGCAGGACCGACCTTTGAAAAACAGTACGGTCCTGCAAAAAACAGAACAGATAGTCACCGTATTTATACTGCGCTCAAAAATACGCGGCAATGACTTTAATATTTAAAATCGATCCATTCCTTAACTTTTTAGACTAAAATCTGGAAAGTGTCAAAATGCAAGAGCTTAAGGAAAATGCGCTCACTGAAAGAGTATAACAGGAGAAAGTAAAGGAACGCAAAAATCCAAATTTTTAGTCCACAGAATGGCAACAACAAAACTAATCTATACATATAATAAAATTGTAACAGGTCGATGTCTGTACATTATAGATATTAAAGAAAAATTAATGTGGGAGGTCTTTATTAGAGCACCAGAAGCTAAATCAACCATTTTTAGAATTTTTGTCTGTCTGTCTGTCTGTCTGTCTGTCTGTATGTTTGTTCGCGCATCACTCGAAAACGAATGCATGGATTTGAATACAGTTTTCACCGATGTATTGCTAGAGGTCCAACTTAAAATATAGGAAGAAAAAAATTAGAGAGTTGCCACCTGTTTGAAAATTGGAGTTCAAGTAAATTGATAAGAAAAAATGAATATTGTAATATGGGCGTCAAAAGAAAGAGGCTGAAGAAAGCTTACAGCCAAAAGTATTTTTTTAGAGTTGCCACCTGTTTGAAAATTTCCATTTAATTTAATTTATAAGATAAATTTAATATTGCAATATGGGTACCAAACTGAAGGGGTTTAGGAAATTTTATTGCCGAAAATATTTTTAGGGAGGGCTGCCACCTGTTCCAAAATTTTATTGTATTGAATTGATTAAATAAATGAAATCTATATCTACATCTAGATATACATATAATAAAATTGTAAAAGGTCGATGTCTGTACCTTATAGATATTAAAGAAAAATTAATATGGTGGGTTTTTATTAAAGCCACAGAAGCCAAATAAACAATTTTTAGAATTTTTGAATATCTGCCTGTCTGTATATTTGTACGCGCATCAGTCGAAAACATGGAATTGAATGCAGTTTTCACCGATGTATCGCTAGAGATCTAGATTCCAATATAGAATAAAAAATTAGAGAGTTTCCACCTGTGTTTAAAATTTCAGTTTAGGTCAATTGATACGGTAATGTGAATACCAAGGAATGAAACCGAAACCCAAACCGAAACCGTAACCGTTTAAAACCGTTTCGTTTTTCAAAACCGAAACCGAAACCGTAACCGTTATCTTGACCTGAAAAGGAACGATACCGAAACCATTTCAATCACAGGTTTCAATCGGTTTCCAGAAATTTACAAATATAATAAATAAAAATTTCTTTGAAATAAATGATTTATTTAACCAAAATCAGCAACATTTTGCTAAAATTCTGGTTAAGTAGTAAATAAGTATGGCAAGGTAACTTTTCGCAAAAATCTGCTGATGACTTTGTTGTTGTGAATCGATAATCGATTAATTATATTTAAGTAGTTTCTTTCCCGTGCGCAATGCGAGATCCCGCGTGTGCCCAAAATAGCCCAGAAATCATGCCTGTACTCAACAAAATGGGTAATAGAGAGCGAAAATTCGAGCGTATTCGATCGTAAGTGTATTCTTCTTCCTGCCCGAAA